AGCCAGATGCTGATGGCAAATTTGAAGACTGTACTGAGGAAGTGTTACAGGAACTAATTCAGCAAGATCAGTCAGATGATGAGGAATAAGGACATGCATTGAACTGAAATTTGAGCCCTCCTACTCGTATGTAAACTCCTAGCAGACGGAAAACTTAAATAAAAGGATTTATAAAGGTCACTAAATTTCGCGGCACCTTTTTTTCCAATACTTGGAAAACAATGGTCCAGCAATACAGCAATCTGCTTGGTTCATTTTTGTTGCCCTCTGAACTGGCTTACCCGTGTAATAAATTTGTTATTTCTTACAAATTAAAATCACAGACAGTGCCTCACAAAAACAAAACAAAACAAAACAAAAAAACATCATGTGTAACCCACCTCCACCCTCTCTAAAATGTTATGTAGCAACATAAATAATATAAGTAAGAACATCGGCAATAATTATCAACCCTCAAAAGTTTGGGTTCATCAATTTAGTGCCACTCCAAAATAAATCTCCCAGCCTATCCGGGGAAAGGGAAATGTTTTGTTTTCTTTTTTTAATTATCATTATTATTTTTTTTTGGCAGTGGTGACAGTGGGCTGGCCTTGTAGTCAGCTGATATTTGCGCGTGGACATACTACTGTTTACAGCATTAGCTTATTTATCAAATGTCATGTGCATCACACGAACCTATCGGTTGCGGAGAATCTTCAAATGCGCGAGTTCGGCAGTAGTGCTTTCTGTCAACACGTCGAAGAGCATCTTCCACACGCTTGCTCTTTAAGACTTCATGAACTAAAAACAGGACAAGATGCGAGGTTAAAAAGAACACTTGGCAGAACAAATCACAACACTTCATACTTTTAAGCTGGTCTATAAGATCAGTGTTGCTATCTCCGTGTGATCTCCACGCCATATTTCGGACAAATAGAGCAAGTCTGCTAGTTGTAGCGCCCATCCGCCATGATAGTTTACTATGCGCAGCGCACACACAAATTAGTTTTGACTGCTGATAACGATCGCATACTCAATGCCTCTTGAAAAGTTCAAAATGGCCGACGTCGACGTGGACTTTATTATGAATGAATTCACGAACAACTCGCTTCATATTAACGAAATCTTCTTATGAAAGAGCCCTTGCAAACGCCATTCCATGTGAAGAGGTTAATGGCAAGTTTCCTCTGTGTTTCACACCACGACGTTCAGCCTGACCTGTCTACGTTGCGTTGAAGCAGAGATCCCTAAAACAGCTAAGACCGAGCGGTACTTTCAGATGTGAATGATGAGTCTGTTTGCAATTGGACGAAGGTTCCTTCATCTTTCAGTCAAGGCAAGTTTCAATTCTCTGGCCTTACAGAAAGGTAAGATTCGTACTGGGTGGTCTTGCTTGTAGCTGGCGTGACATGATGGCGTGACTGGTAACACCAAAATCATTGTCACTTGCACTTATTTTATATTTTGTGATCTTTGTCAGCTTGAGCATTTTAGTTTGACTAGTTCCCTTTCTTTGGTTACCTTTATAGTTAAGAAATAGTAAACATTGGCTGATTTAGACCTTTTTATAAGGTTTTTTCTGGCCCTAATTTTGCCAATTTTAGGGGAGGGGGAGGAAGGCCACAAGGCACATCCCCTAGATCTGTTACTAATGAATACGTGCATCGTTGAGTAAGAATTCAGGAATATTGTCATGAAAGCAGGGCATATGAGTGAGGCAGAATCCAGAACATGCTTCTTGTACTTGTCCAGTGTCCATGAAAGTGTTGAGTACAATCGATAATGCAAAATGAGCAAGCAAACATTTGAAGTCAAAGTATGTCACTATATATATATTATATTTTTATATAACTGAAAAAAAAAATTACTTCTTCATGATTGGCTGAGAGCAGGTCCATTTATTGTTAATTTTTAATTGCACTGCAGTACAAATTACCATGCGTGCTTCCCTAAATTTCTCAGTCATGTGAAAAATGAGTAATCGTATAAAGGCTTGAGCAATTACATGTAAGGATTTACCCTACATGTGATATTTGAAAATTCTGTCAAATTGCACTCGCCTATAATGCTCGTTCAATTTTGAGAGAATTTCAGTTATCACTTGTACCATAAATCCTTAATTGTGCAAGCTTTCATACAGATTTGACCAATACAAATCTGTAAGAAATTCTGCATGCTAAAACTTGTGTCTTGGTGGCCTGCATAAGAAGTCCAAAAACTTTTGACGTACAGCTTGGAACCCTTAGTTATGCTTTGTCCACCCTCAACAAAAGTCCTCTCAAAATCTTATATCCCAAAAAAGTCATTACAAAATATTTGGTAACCCAAAACATTGTCAGATTGCAAATTTCAAACCCAAACAGTGCTTTGCACCTCCCTGTCAAAAGTTTACCCTAAGAGCCCCTGTGAGATTATGGTCCTATAATATCTCTGTCCTGTGTTTGTCCATTGACTCAAGCAACAACGAGAAGCATACTTTATTTGTACCAAAATAACCGATTTTTATAGACCCAAACTTAATCAGTTTTTGTTAATATCATGTATCAGCTTGTCTGTGTACATTTCAAATGTTAAGTTTTCAACTAAGATGAAAAGCGACTGTAAAAAGATTAAAAAAAAACAAACTAAAATATAAGAAATAGGTAAATGTATATTTGTAAAGACGAGGTAGTGAAAAGTCCACAAGACTTTTTTTTAAGCAGCCGGTTGCTATGCACCCAGTCAATGCTTTCCAAGTTGGCTATCTGTGTCTTGTTCTTTATGGAGGTAATCTTTTGTGAAAGGGTGGGTGTTATTAAACTTCATTGTAGAGTAAATAGAGAAGCACAAGGTTTTAAGATCCATCTATGAGTTATCACCAGATAAGATAAGCAACATTGTTGATTTGTTTGCAGGTTTCTTTTTGAGGCGCCAATTTGGAGACATGTCTGATCAATCGTTCTGGAACAACTTTTATGCGTGCCGCCAAGGTGATAAAGTCTTCGATTGGTTTGTGCAATTTGAAGACGTTTGTGGACATCTCCAGCCTCACCTACCCCCTGTTAGTGACAAGGACTTTACAAGGATCTTAGAAATTGGTTGTGGTACCTCTGATTTCAGTTTAAAACTCTTTGAACACTTAAACCATAAATGCCGCATCGAGTGTATCGACTTTTCGCCAGAAGCGATAAAAGCACTGAGGAAAGTAATTCGTGAGCGAGGATTTCTTGCCAAAAAGACACTCGATGCGAAGGGGAGACTGGAAACTAACCTTGACCTTGACTGGACGGGATTGGCGTGTCACAAGGCCGACGCTAAGAATTTGCCGTTTAGAGAAGGAACGTTTTCATTGGCTATCGACAAGGGCACTTCTGATGCAGTTTTAAAGGGACCCAATGGAGAAAGTGCCTTTTTAGAAGTCGTGGGGGAATGCCTACGCGTCTTGAAGCCACATGGAAAACTAGTTCAATTTTCAGACGAACCTCCCGAATTGCGTTTAAATGCATTAGAAAAAGTCCAACGCGAATTACCTCAAGCAGGCTTCACCACATCTAAGAGCTTCAAGATACGAATTTCCTGGCGAGAACTGGATGTACACTCTGGTTTTCAACACTTTCTGTATGTTGTACACAAAGTAAACGCGGCATAAAAATGGTGGGAGCGGGTAGTTGATTTGTTGAGGTTACTGCAAAGAACAAGTCTTGTACATAGTGATTTCAATGGTAAATCACTACTGACATTCTCAATTTCGCGAAGACAGAAGCATACATTACTTTCTTTATAATTAATGATATGTCCCTCTCCTTGTGGTTCAGACATTGTTAAAATGTATCAGCTATGCACAATAAACATGGAACACAAAGAAAAGAGACCTCAGGGCCTAGTTCCTAGGCTCCTTATTAAGTCGCGGTCAGATCAATGGGGTATGATGCGGTCATTCCGTTAAATGACGTCACAAAATACAGTCGTTACCTAGTGTGCTGGTTCTGTCCTTCGGATTGCGAGGTGAGCTGATACTGTAAATTGTGCTTGGGATAAGTTCCCAGGAATAGGTTCCCAGGGGTATGTTCCCAGGGGTAAGAGATACCTTGGGAACAAGGGTGGTTGACAAAAAGGTGTAAATTTACCCATTCCGTCTACGGGTTACGTTGCGCGCTTTTACGAGGGTGAATTGAAGGTTGTTTACCGTTTACTCGGAAAAACCGGTTGTTCGACAGTTGTAGTAAATGGGACGCGTCAAATCCCGAATGGAAATTCCCACGGGGATGAGCTCGTTCCATTTTCACTTTTTTTCCCGGAAGACTGGATCAAAGGCGATCCAAGCCATAAGGCCTGGAACTAGTAAAAACTAGCAAGTGTAAGGCACATTTTCCATTCGGAAATTCCGTTTGGGAATTTTTGTCTTGTTTTCAAGGAATCCCGTTTTCCCGAGAAAATTTCCGTTCGGGGAGACAAAATTAATCTCTCCATTTACATTCTATCCGAAATTTCCGGATTTTTTTGGGTAAATGGTAAACAACCGAAGTGACCTTTACTAGCTCAACAGAACTGCTCCATTAGTAACAAGACAATATTCTTCATGTTTCAGAATCTGAATGTAAAACACTGAGGCGCGTTGAAATTTGAAGAAGAAATACGTCAAGAGACTTGAAAGTTTGGTAAGAAGAATCAAATGCTTCGTAAGCGCTTGTACCAGTATTTTTGTGGTGAAATGTTTCTGTCAAATTGTGATCACAACTACAGTAAACATCGCTCAACGGTTGACGTTTGACTAAGTTATTTTCATTAACTTTTCACAACGGGTTTTTTGATATCTTTTGTGGCAACTTTCTGTTGGCTTTCGTTTCTTGTCAAGTACTGTGTTGTCAAGCTCTACATTCATGTTCTGTCAATTTAACTCTCCTCCTTTCACAGTTCCTGCAATTTGATTGGCTGGTTTAAACAAAAGTCATCAGAGAGTGGTATAAAATGAATCAAAAATAGTACAGTATGGCGATCTTCACTGTCAAGGAGGAGCGTAACTGAAACGCTTTCTGGCAAACACATTTAGTCTACATTTGCAAAAAGCAACCATTTGCGCTGTAAAGTCAGGTATCTTTCAAGACGTAATACCTTAAAATCGCACTAACAGTTCAGTTTCCATGTAGTCTCCTCCTTGGCCGTTATTAGGGTCCTCACAGAACGCTTCTTATCGCCAAGCGCGAAGCGGGTTAAACATAGGCTTTTTCAATCCCGCATCCTGCCGTTATTTTTGGCTCAATCCCGTCATCCCGTAGGCTCTATTTCCAGCCATTTTGTGGAAATCAAGCCTAGTCATACCGCCCTAGTCAAAATATTTATGCCGATCCCGCCTGGTTAGAGTCGTAGTTCTCCGCGTAACGTCCGTAACCTGTGCTTTTCTGTTTTTCATCCCGCATCCCGCCGTCAAGGTCAAAACTATCCCGCATCCCGCCTGTTCAGATGAGCAAAGTATGAGCCAAGTATTTTCATCTCGCATCCCGCCATGAAAATCTATCCCACTTCCATTTTAACTCTCGTCCTGCATTCCGCTAAACCTATTTTGGACTCCCCGCTAGCGCAAACTCCTTCTTAAACCCGAACCGCATTGTTTTCCGCGTTTAAGCCATTCACAGCTTCATTCCTACAATCCTGAGCCAGTCGTGTCGCATTTCTCCGCGTTGATACCATCACAACATCGCGTGTATAATCTTGAGCCAGTCGCACCGAAGCTTTGTATGACGACACTAATAACGACTGCGGGGAAGATCAGTCGCCATCCAACATGCTGGCGTAGTAAATCTCTTAGAAGTCAATGCCTGTAGTCAGGGAATAGCCTCTAAAGATTCTCCTCTGTTTTTTCGTGGCAGACGTTGAGCAATTGATGGTTTGAAGCCAATACCGAGAGATTCAAATGACAAATTGTGGCGGCCATGTTGGATGTGGAAACAACTGACGCATTGTGATCCAATATGAAAACCAAAAATTTTGTTTGATATCGCTCGTTGGTAACATCTTGATGTAAATGCATTAAGGAAAGTTTAGACAAGGGTTCATCAATAGTATGGTTTCACATAAGGGACTTGATTTTTGACAACGCAGAGAATGATCTCTCATATTCAGCAGATCCGGCTATTTTGTTCTTTCAATCTGCCTTTCCAGGTTCCCTTTTGGGTCTCATTAACATGGATAACTGCCATCTTGAAAACATGGTACAAACACACTTGTAATTGACCTTATTCACTGTAACCGCCATGTTTGTTTTCGTATTATAATGTAAATATCTTGGTTGGCAAATTACTCCTCACTTTTGGCGCGAAATTTTAGCGTTAATTTATTATTTCAGATGTGAATTTACAAAATTGCCATAGCAACGTTTGACGCGTATTCTCTTGACATAAACCCACGATTGTAAGCGTAATTTGTCACTAATGATATTAAAAGGTAATCATATGGTATACTCGTAAATTAAGAAAAAATTTCACTTGGGTTTTGTCAAAATTCTAAAAATTATTAGAATTTTGCCAAAACTCCCGTGAGATTATTTCCAAATTTCACTCGTCACCACTTGATTACCATACAAATGTTTAGGTAAGTCATTTTTGAGGCGACAAATACGTTTAAACCAGCAAATTCCAACTAGTTTCCTATTATTTCTGATAAAATGTATGTGTTAGAATTACGTATACTTTAAAGTACTCTAAATATGAGGCTATTTCGATGTATTTCTAAAAAGAAAAAAAAATGACTTGATGAGTTAAAAGTCAAGATAACGATTTACTATTTCAAACTAAGCGTAATTATATAATCAATATTCGGTAACTTGGTTCTCAAAAATAATTTAGGTACAACAGTTCCATTATTAGGACGAGCCGATTTTCAGGGATCTGTCTTCTCTCCAATATTTGACCCCTTGCAGACCGCATGGCTAATTTGCATTATAAGAGCGAAACTATCAAGGCTGCTATTGCTGTAAGGGAGTTAACTACGACTGCGACGGCGAGGACAATGTCCATTAATATTTTACCTACGAATCTTGCCATACTCTAGAGTCATTTAGTTTGTTTCTATTTGTCAAAATTTCAAAACTGAATATGGAACACAGCGTAAAATTCGAAATACACGTGGTTCACGTTCTCTGGGCAACACAGAATTTGGTCATTTCACGTTGCTGTTTTGCAGAGGGCGACAAAGAAATGTGCCAAGAATTATAACGCACGTGTACAGGCATTGTATTGCTCATCAAACCTTTTGTTTAGCGACGTTCTCGTTGCCGGTGCCGTTGTGGTTTTCTTAAACTTTCTAATAATGACGCTTATTACAGCGCCCACATAAAATAAACGATTCGCTTAGGAACCTTGGCTCAAGGTGCGTCATTGTTTAGTCCAATCATGTGAACTAGGAGCGCATTGCACGTGATTTCGACCTAAAGTTCATAGTATCCCATGCTTTTCAGTCCAATGTCGTGATCATGACAACACAGCAACCTCCAGTGATATAATCACGTGAACGTTAAGATATTGCACGTGTTTCCGGCGTGCAGCATCTTATTTGCGTTCATGTGGGCGAAGTTTCAAGAACGTAATGTCAGTGAAAATGGGTGGTAAGGTAAGGTGGCAGGCGTGATTTCTTTAATCGGCACGTTTGGTTTGTTCCTGAAAAAAAATTCGTATAGGCAGGGAAATTGTCTTGGAAGTGCGTAGTAAAAGAGCTCAGGGGCGAATGTGTCGCATTTTATCTTATCATGCTTCACTATTGTATTACTATATAGTGCTTAACCAGAGGGAAAGTTCGTATAATTGTTTTAGTAATTATGAGAATTTTCTAGTCGTTTGAAGTCCTAACTACGCTGAGAAATGTTACGAAATCATTTTAAGTTGAACTAAGCACTGTATTGAATGTAATTTAATGTGCTATTTCAGTGAAATCATTGTATGTTCATTGTGGTTTGGTGTTAAGAAATAAAATTGATTCAAATCTTCCTATTCCTAAATGTGATCAACAACAGAAAAGCTATGGTTTTACGGTTACTTTCCTGTTAGACTGTTATCAATAACTGAAATGATGAAGTGGGCTCGAGGTGGCCACCCACTCTTGTCTTGAGGTAACTTGGAAATCACGAAATGACAATGAAGTGTTTGCAAATTTATAAAACGCATCGTTCAATTAAGGCATTTGTAGTTATCAAATGATACTATGCTTGAGAGCAGTTAGATGGGGAGATTTGTTCCGAAGAGAGAGGGAAATTAGAAGAAGACGGGTTTAGAAGTTTCGTTTTATGAAGCTATTTAATTAAGACAGCAATCTACGCTTTTGGAAATCTAAACTCGTTACCAGGCGTCCCCTGGGTTTTCATTTGCTCCTGCGTCAATTCAATGCAAATAACGAGAGTAAACCTTTCCATTTGCTCAAAAGGATACCGTTTAAATTTATTTTAGTATTAAGATTGAAAATGATTTTTAAACGATGGTAGAAGTGGAATAAACGCTCAAAATTCTTTGGAATGGGCCATTTATTATCGTTTAGAAGGCGAATAGAATCGGCTTTGTTCAGTTTATAGTGATTTTAACGCGAAAAACCGAATCTTAAAGTTCTAATCATTGAAGACATCAACTGACTTTAATATTTTTAGGGGTAGTTTCAAGAAATTAACATCGTTTTCCTCTTGAGATTTCGGCTTTAGGAATAACTAAATTGTCACATTTAATTTTTTTCGATGCAATAAAGAAAGGAAATCACCTCAGCTAAAATATAAATAAAACAGAAGGTATTTTTAAACGGTTTAAGTTTTCAAGAGCCTATCTTTAGTCCTTTTTTCTATCATTATTACGAAGAATTATGTTAGGTTCACGCCATCTGGAGAAAATGTTTTTTTCGCCTTTTTTTTTAACATTTACACATTTCTGTAAAATTTTGGTTTATTTATAATGTTCCGTGAGATTCAGAATTTTGTACCTTCAGACATGGTCGAATATTCTACTTAGATGGCAAATTAATCTCAAAAACTCAAAATACGATTGTGGTTTTGAAATATAACAATACAAATTTCATGTCTCTTTCGATATTCTCACTTGTTTTCTCCCGGAGAAATAACAGATATGTGTTACGCTGTTTATTAAAGTAATTGCGTTGATGGTTTTTGATTGAATTAGAAAGAAATCTCGGACGCCCAGTGGCTGAGAGGGTGCATTCTTTGCGAGGACAATGCGAAAATCTCTACGGATACAGCGTATTTTGTGATTTTTCTGATATTTTCGAGATAAGGTGTCGCAGATTGCATGTCGCCATGGCTAAGAAAGCCCCTTTGAAACAATCTTTTGATCACACCTTAAATCTTATTGGTTGAGCAGGGACTGGCTGTTTGTTAGTAGAGTTAAATTTACTTTAGCTGAAACCATCAACACTATTACAGGCCACAAGTCTTCAGCCCCCAATCTCGGCCTTAAAGAAAGAAGACTAAAAGATAGAAACGCCTGGTTAACTCGCTAAGGAGAACCAAAATTTGGACTTGGGGGCGCGAGATAAAAAAAGAAATAATTTTGCTGTAGAATGCGTAATACAGCGCGATTTCACCCAGTGACCCGTTTCGCTTTCTTAGCTCTGTTTCTCACGACTGGAATTGCTGATGGACTAAGGTAAAATGTCGTTATCTTTTTATGTCTCTTGGTAGTTTTAGCTTACAAGTTTAAAAGGGTTTCTCTTTAAGACTTAACTAGCTATTTGAAACGCTCGCAGTGGCAGAATTTCGCGATTACGTATTAGAAATTGTGCAAGAGAGATACATTGTACTTTAAGCGATTTAGTTCTGAAAATCGGAACTTAGAAAACTGAGGGGAAAACAAGGAGAAAAATACTTTTTAATTCAGGTTTTAAAGGATTATTTTTTGGTGTATTTCAGTTGTCGTGAACAAGTTTGTAAAAATACGAAGATTATCGTTATTTTTGAACAGTTTTCATTGGATGAAACCCCAGAGGGATTAAATAATTGTGAATTTATTTTCTTATTTTCAAAACCTTTTTTCGACATTTTAAAACGACGTGGTTTTACCCCGAAAAAGATGCTTGACCAAAACTGTTAAAGTATTGTTTCTGCTCTTTAATACTAAGAAAATTGTGTGGAAGAGGAGTCATGCATGTTTGCTGTAGCGTCGGCCCTAAAGTTCAGTCTCCATTTTTCACTGCCATAATGTTCCTGATTTTCACACATGTACATTAAGCTACTACAGAAGAAAAATACAAATTTGAACAGAATGAGAAATCCATGTTAAAAGTACGTTATTTAGCTGCCAAATATCACTTTCCCGAAAGGATACCATGAATATTTCGCTATGTATCAACTTCGAACTATTTGCACAAAAATCAAGTTTATTTTCCCGTATTCTCGCTTTGAAAATGTCTTGAGGGTGGTATTTTACCATGAATACCTCTCTACAAGATGGGGAGGTTAGCAGATCTAAGATTTTTAATTCGTTATGTAACTGTGTTTTTACAATCACGGTTTTCTTATTTCAGGAATGAATTGCCCGAAACATTCGAAGCCGAAGTAGACGGACTCGCTGACTTAGAGAGAAACCAACGGTCTTTCCGAAGTTGTAAGTGAACGCCTCCGTATTTCTTATTGTGGGCCTTCTTCGTGAGATGCACTGATTCTCTTCCATTTGTAAGAACGAATCTTTGTTATGTAACGTCGCCCATTTTTAAACCAAATTCAGCTCATGAGACTATCTTCAACTGTGTAAATTTAAAAGGGATTGTTTCAAAATATGTTCCTCTTTCGCACTAAATAATTTCTTGGTTTTCCAAAACATTAACCTTTTCATCTCCTTGGCAGAAGTACCTATCTCTCCAATAAATGCGTTCAATCCTTTATGATTTACACTACTCTATTCAGATCGAAATATGTCGCCTCCCATTTTTCCCCATCCTTGAATGTTGTACAGGTATTGCTAAGATAGGAGTGAAACAAAAATGACTAGAAAAGCGTAAATAAGAAGGAAAATTAATATATCTTTAACATTTATTTCTTCTTGTAGAAACCGAAAAAATTCAGTAATATGGCCTTAAAAATTCTTGGGCGTCTGAACAAGAATTAGTAAAACACATAAGGATTAAAACTTAGAATTTCAATCATACTTCCATGTTCATTTTCATATTTAACAGTTAACAATCTTGAGACGAAATTTTGAGAATTAATTTTTAGTCTCTAAGAACTCGTTGTATTAAAAGCACTAAACCAGGTCAGTTTGAAAACTTTATTTTTCATTCTATCAAACGGGCGATTTTCACTTGAAAATTATTTAGGGTAAAAAATATTTGCTCTCCAAATTTACGGTCTATTGTTGTCAGATTTTGGTATAAAAGGCAAACGAAATCTTCAAAATGAAAATTAAATTTTTTCGTTAGTAGAAACGCGAGCGTAGCAACATTAATAATATTAGTTGTTATGTGGTGCATGACGTCGGAACAGTGTCACGTGACTGGAAATCTAATTTTCACGGCTAGACAAAAAAGTAATTGCACCAATTGAACCATTTTCGTCATAAATCTCACACCACTCTTTACGAACAAAATAATGTAACAGTTGCAGCTTGAGTTGATTTAGGTAGCAGTTTCCTTATTTTAGAAAGGTTCGAGTTTACTGTTTTTCTGTGTTTTTGTAACTTTATTATTTTTTGTGCCACATTTCGCTAATAATATATAATATAAATATTATAATCTTCTACAGACAGTTTACCTGCATTTCCAAAACTTGTTTACTTCGCTATGACGTATTTTCAAAAAACTCTTGACCACGGCTACCACATTTTCCCGCCAGAGTGACACGCGCACGTTATTTTACTATTAGGTCATGTTATAACTGAATTTATATCTTAAGGTGAACTCTTATTCAGTTTGGCTTGGTTTCTTTTGAAATTTTGGTTTCATCCTTTACTCAGCAAAGACGAATCTATTCCTTGAATTCAAATAATATATATTTTTTGGCTTATTAAATTGAACACTTTGATGTAATAGCCGGCAGCAGCGCTTGCCTCAGTCTTTTTTTCCGTTTCTGATATTTTTTTGTTTTTTTGAAGGGGGAAAGAAACACTGCTAAATACCTAGTCTACCTAGGAAAATAATTTGACCATGGACGTAGCCTCAGTCTGAAGTTTTTTTCCCGGCTACTCCCTTGAAGTGTAACCTTTTAACCTTCTATTGCAGATGATGCCTACGGACCTATAAGGAGGTCGAACATTCAGCGTCACATTCCAGACCAGAATGACGAAAATGTTTGCGTGCCAGCGTGCGCGCACGGCGGAACATGTGTCAACAAAACGTGCGTCTGCCCCGCCGGGTGGACTGGAATCGATTGCACGCAGGGTGGGTTGGAATAACGTGTTTTTAAATTTATATTTTTTATTTTCATTTTTTTATCTTGAAGTAACGATCGCCGTCAAAGGAGTTAAGATGATTTAAAGACGGATGTAAACGCTACAACTTTGCCGTTCAAGTGTGACAGGCTTCCGACAAGTGTCCGTTGCAAATTGCTTCATTTAAATCAAACCAACAAGTTGCGAGACATTATCGGCTGATGTACCTCTTTTTCTGTCAAATTAACAAATTGACGCCAGTTTTTTATGCGTCTGTCCTCTTATTGATAACAAATTGCGGCATAACATTGTCAAAGTGGCTGTGGAACCACGAGCCGCAGGCGAGTGGTTCCGCAGTAAACTCGCCTGGTTAGAGTCGTAGTTCTCCGCGTAACGTCCGTAACCTGTGCTTTTCTGTTTTTCGTCCCGCATCCCGCCGTCAAGGTCAAAACTATCCCGCATCCCGCCTGTTCAGATGAGCAAAGTATGAGCGAAGTATTTTTATCTCGCTTCCCGCCATGAAAATCGATCCCACCTCCATTTTAACTCTCGTCCTGCATTCCGCTAAACCTATTTTGGACTCCCCGCTAGCGCTAACTCCTTTCTTAAACCCGAACCGCATTGTTTTCCGCGTTTAAGCCATTCACAGCTTCATTCCTACAATCCTGAACCAGTCATGTCGCATTTCTCCGCGTTGGTACCATCACAACATCGCGTGTATAATCTTGAGCCAGTAGCACCGAAGCCTTGTGTGACGACACTAATAACGACTGCGGGGAAGATCAGTCGCCATCCAACATGCTGGCGTAGTAAATCTCTTAGAAGTCAATGCCTGTNTTGTATGACGACACTAATAACGACTGCGGGGAAGATCAGTCGCCATCCAACATGCTGGCGTAGTAAATCTCTTAGAAGTCAATGCCTGTAGTCAGGGAATAGCCTCAAAAGATTCTCCTCTGTTTTTTCGTGGCAGACGTTGAGCAATTGATGGTTTGAAGCCAATACCGGGAGATTCAAATGACAAATTGTGGCGGCCATGTTGGATGTGGAAACAATTGAAACAATGTGATCCAACATGAAAACCAAAAATTTTGTTTGATATCACTCATTGCTAACATCCTGATGTAAATGCATTAAGGAAAGTTTAGACAAGGGTTCATCAATAGTATCGTTTCACATAAGGGACTTGATTTTTGACAACGCAGAGAATGATCTCTCATCCTCAGCAGATCCGGCTATTTTGTTCTTTCAATCTGCCTTTCCAGGTTCCCTTTTGGGTCTCATTAACATGGATAACTGCCATCTTGAAAACATGCTACAAACACACTTGTAATTGACCTTATTCACTGTAACCGCCATGTTTGTTTTCGTATTATAATGTAAATATCTTGGTTGGCAAATTACTCCTCACTTTTGGCGCGAAATTTTAGCGTTAATTTATTATTTCAGATGTGAATTTACAAAATTGCCATAGCAACGTTTGACGCGTATTCTCTTGACATAAACCCACGATTGTAAGCGTAATTTGTCACTAATGATATTAAAAGGTAATCATATGGTATACTCGTAAATTAAGAAAAAATTTCACTTGGGTTTTGTCAAAATTCTAAAAATTATTAGAATTTTGCCAAAACTCCCGTGAGATTATTTCCAAATTTCACTCGTCACCACTTGATTACCATACAAATGTTTAGGTAAGTCATTTTTGAGGCGACAAATACGTTTAAACCAGCAAATTCCAACTAGTTTCCTATTATTTCTGATAAAATGTATGTGTTAGAATTACGTATACTTTAAAGTACTCTAAATATGAGGCTATTTCGATGTATTTCTAAAAAGAAAAAAAAATGACTTGATGAGTTAAAAGTCAAGATAACGATTTACTATTTCAAACTAAGCGTAATTATATAATCAATATTCGGTAACTTGGTTCTCAAAAATAATTTAGGTACAACAGTTCCATTATTAGGACGAGCCGATTTTCAGGGATCTGTCTTCTCTCCAATATTTGACCCCTTGCAGACCGCATGGCTAATTTGCATTATAAGAGCGAAACTATCAAGGCTGCTATTGCTGTAAGGGAGTTAACTACGACTGCGACGGCGAGGACAATGTCCATTAATATTTTACCTACGAATCTTGCCATACTCTAGAGTCATTTAGTTTGTTTCTATTTGTCAAAATTTCAAAACTGAATATGGAACACAGCGTAAAATTCGAAATACACGTGGTTCACGTTCTCTGGGCAACACAGAATTTGGTCATTTCACGTTGCTGTTTTGCAGAGGGCGACAAAGAAATGTGCCAAGAATTATAACGCACGTGTACAGGCATTGTATTGCTCATCAAACCTTTTGTTTAGCGACGTTCTCGTTGCCGGTGCCGTTGTGGTTTTCTTAAACTTTCTAATAATGACGCTTATTACAGCGCCCACATAAAATAAACGATTCGCTTAGGAACCTTGGCTCAAGGTGCGTCATTGTTTAGTCCAATCATGTGAACTAGGAGCGCATTGCACGTGATTTCGACCTAAAGTTCATAGTATCCCATGCTTTTCAGTCCAATGTCGTGATCATGACAACACAGCAACCTCCAGTGATATAATCACGTGAACGTTAAGATATTGCACGTGTTTCCGGCGTGCAGCATCTTATTTGCGTTCATGTGGGCGAAGTTTCAAGAACGTAATGTCAGTGAAAATGGGTGGTAAGGTAAGGTGGCAGGCGTGATTTCTTTAATCGGCACGTTTGGTTTGTTCCTGAAAAAAAATTCGTATAGGCAGGGAAATTGTCTTGGAAGTGCGTAGTAAAAGAGCTCAGGGGCGAATGTGTCGCATTTTATCTTATCATGCTTCACTATTGTATTACTATATAGTGCTTAACCAGAGGGAAAGTTCGTATAATTGTTTTAGTAATTATGAGAATTTTCTAGTCGTTTGAAGTCCTAACTACGCTGAGAAATGTTACGAAATCATTTTAAGTTGAACTAAGCACTGTATTGAATGTAATTTAATGTGCTATTTCAGTGAAATCATTGTATGTTCATTGTGGTTTGGTGTTAAGAAATAAAATTGATTCAAATCTTCCTATTCCTAAATGTGATCAACAACAGAAAAGCTATGGTTTTACGGTTACTTTCCTGTTAGACTGTTATCAATAACTGAAATGATGAAGTGGGCTCGAGGTGGCCACCCACTCTTGTCTTGAGGTAACTTGGAAATCACGAAATGACAATGAAGTGTTTGCAAATTTATAAAACGCATCGTTCAATTAAGGCATTTGTAGTTATCAAATGATACTATGCTTGAGAGCAGTTAGATGGGGAGATTTGTTCCGAAGAGAGAGGGAAATTAGAAGAAGACGGGTTTAGAAGTTTCGTTTTATGAAGCTATTTAATTAAGACAGCAATCTACGCTTTTGGAAATCTAAACTCGTTACCAGGCGTCCCCTGGGTTTTCATTTGCTCCTGCGTCAATTCAATGCAAATAACGAGAGTAAACCTTTCCATTTGCTCAAAAGGATACCGTTTAAATTTATTTTAGTATTAAGATTGAAAATGATTTTTAAACGATGGTAGAAGTGGAATAAACGCTCAAAATTCTTTGGAATGGGCCATTTATTATCGTTTAGAAGGCGAATAGAATCGGCTTTGTTCAGTTTATAGTGATTTTAACGCGAAAAACCGAATCTTAAAGTTCTAATCATTGAAGACATCAACTGACTTTAATATTTTTAGGGGTAGTTTCAAGAAATTAACATCGTTTTCCTCTTGAGATTTCGGCTTTAGGAATAACTAAATTGTCACATTTAATTTTTTTCGATGCAATAAAGAAAGGAAATCACCTCAGCTAAAATATAAATAAAACAGAAGGTATTTTTAAACGGTTTAAGTTTTCAAGAGCCTATCTTTAGTCCTTTTTTCTATCATTATTACGAAGAATTATGTTAGGTTCACGCCATCTGGAGAAAATGTTTTTTTCGCCTTTTTTTTTAACATTTACACATTTCTGTAAAATTTTGGTTTATTTATAATGTTCCGTGAGATTCAGAATTTTGTACCTTCAGACATGGTCGAATATTCTACTTAGATGGCAAATTAATCTCAAAAACTCAAAATACGATTGTGGTTTTGAAATATAACAATACAAATTTCATGTCTCTTTCGATATTCTCACTTGTTTTCTCCCGGAGAAATAACAGATATGTGTTACGCTGTTTATTAAAGTAATTGCGTTGATGGTTTTTGATTGAATTAGAAAGAAATCTCGGACGCCCAGTGGCTGAGAGGGTGCATTCTTTGCGAGGACAATGCGAAAATCTCTACGGATACAGCGTATTTTGTGATTTTTCTGATATTTTCGAGATAAGGTGTCGCAGATTGCATGTCGCCATGGCTAAGAAAGCCCCTTTGAAACAATCTTTTGATCACACCTTAAATCTTATTGGTTGAGCAGGGACTGGCTGTTTGTTAGTAGAGTTAAATTTACTTTAGCTGAAACCATCAACACTATTACAGGCCACAAGTCTTCAGCCCCCAATCTCGGCCTTAAAGAAAGAAGACTAAAAGATAGAAACGCCTGGTTAACTCGCTAAGGAGAACCAAAATTTGGACTTGGGGGCGCGAGATAAAAAAAGAAATAATTTTGCTGTAGAATGCGTAATACAGCGCGATTTCACCCAGTGACCCGTTTCGCTTTCTTAGCTCTGTTTCTCACGACTGGAATTGCTGATGGACTAAGGTAAAATGTCGTTATCTTTTTATGTCTCTTGGTAGTTTTAGCTTACAAGTTTAAAAGGGTTTCTCTTTAAGACTTAACTAGCTATTTGAAACGCTCGCAGTGGCAGAATTTCGCGATTACGTATTAGAAATTGTGCAAGAGAGATACATTGTACTTTAAGCGATTTAGTTCTGAAAATCGGAACTTAGAAAACTGAGGGGAAAACAAGGAGAAAAATACTTTTTAATTCAGGTTTTAAAGGATTATTTTTTGGTGTATTTCAGTTGTCGTGAACAAGTTTGTAAAAATACGAAGATTATCGTTATTTTTGAACAGTTTTCATTGGATGAAACCCCAGAGGGATTAAATAATTGTGAATTTATTTTCTTATTTTCAAAACCTTTTTTCGACATTTTAAAACGACGTGGTTTTACCCCGAAAAAGATGCTTGACCAAAACTGTTAAAGTATTGTTTCTGCTCTTTAATACTAAGAAAATTGTGTGGAAGAGGAGTCATGCATGTTTGCTGTAGCGTCGGCCCTAAAGTTCAGTCTCCATTTTTCACTGCCATAATGTTCCTGATTTTCACACATGTACATTAAGCTACTACAGAAGAAAAATACAAATTTGAACAGAATGAGAAATCCATGTTAAAAGTACGTTATTTAGCTGCCAAATATCACTTTCCCGAAAGGATACCATGAATATTTCGCTATGTATCAACTTCGAACTATTTGCACAAAAATCAAGTTTATTTTCCCGTATTCTCGCTTTGAAAATGTCTTGAGGGTGGTATTTTACCATGAATACCTCTCTACAAGATGGGGAGGTTAGCAGATCTAAGATTTTTAATTCGTTATGTAACTGTGTTTTTACAATCACGGTTTTCTTATTTCAGGAATGAATTGCCCGAAACATTCGAAGCCGAAGTAGACGGACTCGCTGACTTAGAGAGAAACCAACGGTCTTTCCGAAGTTGTAAGTGAACGCCTCCGTATTTCTTATTGTGGGCCTTCTTCGTGAGATGCACTGATTCTCTTCCATTTGTAAGAACGAATCTTTGTTATGTAACGTCGCCCATTTTTAAACCAAATTCAGCTCATGAGACTATCTTCAACTGTGTAAATTTAAAAGGGATTGTTTCAAAATATGTTCCTCTTTCGCACTAAATAATTTCTTGGTTTTCCAAAACATTAACCTTTTCATCTCCTTGGCAGAAGTACCTATCTCTCCAATAAATGCGTTCAATCCTTTATGATTTACACTACTCTATTCAGATCGAAATATGTCGCCTCCCATTTTTCCCCATCCTTGAATGTTGTACAGGTATTGCTAAGATAGGAGTGAAACAAAAATGACTAGAAAAGCGTAAATAAGAAGGAAAATTAATATATCTTTAACATTTATTTCTTCTTGTAGAAACCGAAAAAATTCAGTAATATGGCCTTAAAAATTCTTGGGCGTCTGAACAAGAATTAGTAAAACACATAAGGATTAAAACTTAGAATTTCAATCATACTTCCATGTTCATTTTCATATTTAACAGTTAACAATCTTGAGACGAAATTTTGAGAATTAATTTTTAGTCTCTAAGAACTCGTTGTATTAAAAGCACTAAACCAGGTCAGTTTGAAAACTTTATTTTTCATTCTATCAAACGGGCGATTTTCACTTGAAAATTATTTAGGGTAAAAAATATTTGCTCTCCAAATTTACGGTCTATTGTTGTCAGATTTTGGTATAAAAGGCAAACGAAATCTTCAAAATGAAAATTAAATTTTTTCGTTAGTAGAAACGCGAGCGTAGCAACATTAATAATATTAGTTGTTATGTGGTGCATGACGTCGGAACAGTGTCACGTGACTGGAAATCTAATTTTCACGGCTAGACAAAAAAGTAATTGCACCAATTGAACCATTTTCGTCATAAATCTCACACCACTCTTTACGAACAAAATAATGTAACAGTTGCAGCTTGAGTTGATTTAGGTAGCAGTTTCCTTATTTTAGAAAGGTTCGAGTTTACTGTTTTTCTGTGTTTTTGTAACTTTATTATTTTTTGTGCCACATTTCGCTAATAATATATAATATAAATATTATAATCTTCTACAGACAGTTTACCTGCATTTCCAAAACTTGTTTACTTCGCTATGACGTATTTTCAAAAAACTCTTGACCACGGCTACCACATTTTCCCGCCAGAGTGACACGCGCACGTTATTTTACTATTAGGTCATGTTATAACTGAATTTATATCTTAAGGTGAACTCTTATTCAGTTTGGCTTGGTTTCTTTTGAAATTTTGGTTTCATCCTTTACTCAGCAAAGACGAATCTATTCCTTGAATTCAAATAATATATATTTTTTGGCTTATTAAATTGAACACTTTGATGTAATAGCCGGCAGCAGCGCTTGCCTCAGTCTTTTTTTCCGTTTCTGATATTTTTTTGTTTTTTTGAAGGGGGAAAGAAACACTGCTAAATACCTAGTCTACCTAGGAAAATAATTTGACCATGGACGTAGCCTCAGTCTGAAGTTTTTTTCCCGGCTACTCCCTTGAAGTGTAACCTTTTAACCTTCTATTGCAGATGATGCCTACGGACCTATAAGGAGGTCGAACATTCAGCGTCACATTCCAGACCAGAATGACGAAAATGTTTGCGTGCCAGCGTGCGCGCACGGCGGAACATGTGTCAACAAAACGTGCGTCTGCCCCGCCGGGTGGACTGGAATCGATTGCACGCAGGGTGGGTTGGAATAACGTGTTTTTAAATTTATATTTTTTATTTTCATTTTTTTATCTTGAAGTAACGATCGCCGTCAAAGGAGTTAAGATGATTTAAAGACGGATGTAAACGCTACAACTTTGCCGTTCAAGTGTGACAGGCTTCCGACAAGTGTCCGTTGCAAATTGCTTCATTTAAATCAAACCAACAAGTTGCGAGACATTATCGGCTGATGTACCTCTTTTTCTGTCAAATTAACAAATTGACGCCAGTTTTTTATGCGTCTGTCCTCTTATTGATAACAAATTGCGGCATAACATTGTCAAAGTGGCTGTGGAACCACGAGCCGCAGGCGAGTGGTTCCGCAGTAAACTTACAAACACACTTGTAATTGACCTTATTCACTGTAACCGCCATGTTTGTTTTCGTATTATAATGTAAATATCTTGGTTGGCAAATTACTCCTCACTTTTGGCGCGAAATTTTAGCGTTAATTTATTATTTCAGATGTGAATTTACAAAATTGCCATAGCAACGTTTGACGCGTATTCTCTTGACATAAACCCACGATTGTAAGCGTAATTTGTCACTAATGATATTAAAAGGTAATCATATGGTATACTCGTAAATTAAGAAAAAATTTCACTTGGGTTTTGTCAAAATTCTAAAAATTATTAGAATTTTGCCAAAACTCCCGTGAGATTATTTCCAAATTTCACTCGTCACCACTTGATTACCATACAAATGTTTAGGTAAGTCATTTTTGAGGCGACAAATACGTTTAAACCAGCAAATTCCAACTAGTTTCCTATTATTTCTGATAAAATGTATGTGTTAGAATTACGTATACTTTAAAGTACTCTAAATATGAGGCTATTTCGATGTATTTCTAAAAAGAAAAAAAAATGACTTGATGAGTTAAAAGTCAAGATAACGATTTACTATTTCAAACTAAGCGTAATTATATAATCAATATTCGGTAACTTGGTTCTCAAAAATAATTTAGGTACAACAGTTCCATTATTAGGACGAGCCGATTTTCAGGGATCTGTCTTCTCTCCAATATTTGACCCCTTGCAGACCGCATGGCTAATTTGCATTATAAGAGCGAAACTATCAAGGCTGCTATTGCTGTAAGGGAGTTAACTACGACTGCGACGGCGAGGACAATGTCCATTAATATTTTACCTACGAATCTTGCCATACTCTAGAGTCATTTAGTTTGTTTCTATTTGTCAAAATTTCAAAACTGAATATGGAACACAGCGTAAAATTCGAAATACACGTGGTTCACGTTCTCTGGGCAACACAGAATTTGGTCATTTCACGTTGCTGTTTTGCAGAGGGCGACAAAGAAATGTGCCAAGAATTATAACGCACGTGTACAGGCATTGTATTGCTCATCAAACCTTTTGTTTAGCGACGTTCTCGTTGCCGGTGCCGTTGTGGTTTTCTTAAACTTTCTAATAATGACGCTTATTACAGCGCCCACATAAAATAAACGATTCGCTTAGGAACCTTGGCTCAAGGTGCGTCATTGTTTAGTCCAATCATGTGAACTAGGAGCGCATTGCACGTGATTTCGACCTAAAGTTCATAGTATCCCATGCTTTTCAGTCCAATGTCGTGATCATGACAACACAGCAACCTCCAGTGATATAATCACGTGAACGTTAAGATATTGCACGTGTTTCCGGCGTGCAGCATCTTATTTGCGTTCATGTGGGCGAAGTTTCAAGAACGTAATGTCAGTGAAAATGGGTGGTAAGGTAAGGTGGCAGGCGTGATTTCTTTAATCGGCACGTTTGGTTTGTTCCTGAAAAAAAATTCGTATAGGCAGGGAAATTGTCTTGGAAGTGCGTAGTAAAAGAGCTCAGGGGCGAATGTGTCGCATTTTATCTTATCATGCTTCACTATTGTATTACTATATAGTGCTTAACCAGAGGGAAAGTTCGTATAATTGTTTTAGTAATTATGAGAATTTTCTAGTCGTTTGAAGTCCTAACTACGCTGAGAAATGTTACGAAATCATTTTAAGTTGAACTAAGCACTGTATTGAATGTAATTTAATGTGCTATTTCAGTGAAATCATTGTATGTTCATTGTGGTTTGGTGTTAAGAAATAAAATTGATTCAAATCTTCCTATTCCTAAATGTGATCAACAACAGAAAAGCTATGGTTTTACGGTTACTTTCCTGTTAGACTGTTATCAATAACTGAAATGATGAAGTGGGCTCGAGGTGGCCACCCACTCTTGTCTTGAGGTAACTTGGAAATCACGAAATGACAATGAAGTGTTTGCAAATTTATAAAACGCATCGTTCAATTAAGGCATTTGTAGTTATCAAATGATACTATGCTTGAGAGCAGTTAGATGGGGAGATTTGTTCCGAAGAGAGAGGGAAATTAGAAGAAGACGGGTTTAGAAGTTTCGTTTTATGAAGCTATTTAATTAAGACAGCAATCTACGCTTTTGGAAATCTAAACTCGTTACCAGGCGTCCCCTGGGTTTTCATTTGCTCCTGCGTCAATTCAATGCAAATAACGAGAGTAAACCTTTCCATTTGCTCAAAAGGATACCGTTTAAATTTATTTTAGTATTAAGATTGAAAATGATTTTTAAACGATGGTAGAAGTGGAATAAACGCTCAAAATTCTTTGGAATGGGCCATTTATTATCGTTTAGAAGGCGAATAGAATCGGCTTTGTTCAGTTTATAGTGATTTTAACGCGAAAAACCGAATCTTAAAGTTCTAATCATTGAAGACATCAACTGACTTTAATATTTTTAGGGGTAGTTTCAAGAAATTAACATCGTTTTCCTCTTGAGATTTCGGCTTTAGGAATAACTAAATTGTCACATTTAATTTTTTTCGATGCAATAAAGAAAGGAAATCACCTCAGCTAAAATATAAATAAAACAGAAGGTATTTTTAAACGGTTTAAGTTTTCAAGAGCCTATCTTTAGTCCTTTTTTCTATCATTATTACGAAGAATTATGTTAGGTTCACGCCATCTGGAGAAAATGTTTTTTTCGCCTTTTTTTTTAACATTTACACATTTCTGTAAAATTTTGGTTTATTTATAATGTTCCGTGAGATTCAGAATTTTGTACCTTCAGACATGGTCGAATATTCTACTTAGATGGCAAATTAATCTCAAAAACTCAAAATACGATTGTGGTTTTGAAATATAACAATACAAATTTCATGTCTCTTTCGATATTCTCACTTGTTTTCTCCCGGAGAAATAACAGATATGTGTTACGCTGTTTATTAAAGTAATTGCGTTGATGGTTTTTGATTGAATTAGAAAGAAATCTCGGACGCCCAGTGGCTGAGAGGGTGCATTCTTTGCGAGGACAATGCGAAAATCTCTACGGATACAGCGTATTTTGTGATTTTTCTGATATTTTCGAGATAAGGTGTCGCAGATTGCATGTCGCCATGGCTAAGAAAGCCCCTTTGAAACAATCTTTTGATCACACCTTAAATCTTATTGGTTGAGCAGGGACTGGCTGTTTGTTAGTAGAGTTAAATTTACTTTAGCTGAAACCATCAACACTATTACAGGCCACAAGTCTTCAGCCCCCAATCTCGGCCTTAAAGAAAGAAGACTAAAAGATAGAAACGCCTGGTTAACTCGCTAAGGAGAACCAAAATTTGGACTTGGGGGCGCGAGATAAAAAAAGAAATAATTTTGCTGTAGAATGCGTAATACAGCGCGATTTCACCCAGTGACCCGTTTCGCTTTCTTAGCTCTGTTTCTCACGACTGGAATTGCTGATGGACTAAGGTAAAATGTCGTTATCTTTTTATGTCTCTTGGTAGTTTTAGCTTACAAGTTTAAAAGGGTTTCTCTTTAAGACTTAACTAGCTATTTGAAACGCTCGCAGTGGCAGAATTTCGCGATTACGTATTAGAAATTGTGCAAGAGAGATACATTGTACTTTAAGCGATTTAGTTCTGAAAATCGGAACTTAGAAAACTGAGGGGAAAACAAGGAGAAAAATACTTTTTAATTCAGGTTTTAAAGGATTATTTTTTGGTGTATTTCAGTTGTCGTGAACAAGTTTGTAAAAATACGAAGATTATCGTTATTTTTGAACAGTTTTCATTGGATGAAACCCCAGAGGGATTAAATAATTGTGAATTTATTTTCTTATTTTCAAAACCTTTTTTCGACATTTTAAAACGACGTGGTTTTACCCCGAAAAAGATGCTTGACCAAAACTGTTAAAGTATTGTTTCTGCTCTTTAATACTAAGAAAATTGTGTGGAAGAGGAGTCATGCATGTTTGCTGTAGCGTCGGCCCTAAAGTTCAGTCTCCATTTTTCACTGCCATAATGTTCCTGATTTTCACACATGTACATTAAGCTACTACAGAAGAAAAATACAAATTTGAACAGAATGAGAAATCCATGTTAAAAGTACGTTATTTAGCTGCCAAATATCACTTTCCCGAAAGGATACCATGAATATTTCGCTATGTATCAACTTCGAACTATTTGCACAAAAATCAAGTTTATTTTCCCGTATTCTCGCTTTGAAAATGTCTTGAGGGTGGTATTTTACCATGAATACCTCTCTACAAGATGGGGAGGTTAGCAGATCTAAGATTTTTAATTCGTTATGTAACTGTGTTTTTACAATCACGGTTTTCTTATTTCAGGAATGAATTGCCCGAAACATTCGAAGCCGAAGTAGACGGACTCGCTGACTTAGAGAGAAACCAACGGTCTTTCCGAAGTTGTAAGTGAACGCCTCCGTATTTCTTATTGTGGGCCTTCTTCGTGAGATGCACTGATTCTCTTCCATTTGTAAGAACGAATCTTTGTTATGTAACGTCGCCCATTTTTAAACCAAATTCAGCTCATGAGACTATCTTCAACTGTGTAAATTTAAAAGGGATTGTTTCAAAATATGTTCCTCTTTCGCACTAAATAATTTCTTGGTTTTCCAAAACATTAACCTTTTCATCTCCTTGGCAGAAGTACCTATCTCTCCAATAAATGCGTTCAATCCTTTATGATTTACACTACTCTATTCAGATCGAAATATGTCGCCTCCCATTTTTCCCCATCCTTGAATGTTGTACAGGTATTGCTAAGATAGGAGTGAAACAAAAATGACTAGAAAAGCGTAAATAAGAAGGAAAATTAATATATCTTTAACATTTATTTCTTCTTGTAGAAACCGAAAAAATTCAGTAATATGGCCTTAAAAATTCTTGGGCGTCTGAACAAGAATTAGTAAAACACATAAGGATTAAAACTTAGAATTTCAATCATACTTCCATGTTCATTTTCATATTTAACAGTTAACAATCTTGAGACGAAATTTTGAGAATTAATTTTTAGTCTCTAAGAACTCGTTGTATTAAAAGCACTAAACCAGGTCAGTTTGAAAACTTTATTTTTCATTCTATCAAACGGGCGATTTTCACTTGAAAATTATTTAGGGTAAAAAATATTTGCTCTCCAAATTTACGGTCTATTGTTGTCAGATTTTGGTATAAAAGGCAAACGAAATCTTCAAAATGAAAATTAAATTTTTTCGTTAGTAGAAACGCGAGCGTAGCAACATTAATAATATTAGTTGTTATGTGGTGCATGACGTCGGAACAGTGTCACGTGACTGGAAATCTAATTTTCACGGCTAGACAAAAAAGTAATTGCACCAATTGAACCATTTTCGTCATAAATCTCACACCACTCTTTACGAACAAAATAATGTAACAGTTGCAGCTTGAGTTGATTTAGGTAGCAGTTTCCTTATTTTAGAAAGGTTCGAGTTTACTGTTTTTCTGTGTTTTTGTAACTTTATTATTTTTTGTGCCACATTTCGCTAATAATATATAATATAAATATTATAATCTTCTACAGACAGTTTACCTGCATTTCCAAAACTTGTTTACTTCGCTATGACGTATTTTCAAAAAACTCTTGACCACGGCTACCACATTTTCCCGCCAGAGTGACACGCGCACGTTATTTTACTATTAGGTCATGTTATAACTGAATTTATATCTTAAGGTGAACTCTTATTCAGTTTGGCTTGGTTTCTTTTGAAATTTTGGTTTCATCCTTTACTCAGCAAAGACGAATCTATTCCTTGAATTCAAATAATATATATTTTTTGGCTTATTAAATTGAACACTTTGATGTAATAGCCGGCAGCAGCGCTTGCCTCAGTCTTTTTTTCCGTTTCTGATATTTTTTTGTTTTTTTGAAGGGGGAAAGAAACACTGCTAAATACCTAGTCTACCTAGGAAAATAATTTGACCATGGACGTAGCCTCAGTCTGAAGTTTTTTTCCCGGCTACTCCCTTGAAGTGTAACCTTTTAACCTTCTATTGCAGATGATGCCTACGGACCTATAAGGAGGTCGAACATTCAGCGTCACATTCCAGACCAGAATGACGAAAATGTTTGCGTGCCAGCGTGCGCGCACGGCGGAACATGTGTCAACAAAACGTGCGTCTGCCCCGCCGGGTGGACTGGAATCGATTGCACGCAGGGTGGGTTGGAATAACGTGTTTTTAAATTTATATTTTTTATTTTCATTTTTTTATCTTGAAGTAACGATCGCCGTCAAAGGAGTTAAGATGATTTAAAGACGGATGTAAACGCTACAACTTTGCCGTTCAAGTGTGACAGGCTTCCGACAAGTGTCCGTTGCAAATTGCTTCATTTAAATCAAACCAACAAGTTGCGAGACATTATCGGCTGATGTACCTCTTTTTCTGTCAAATTAACAAATTGACGCCAGTTTTTTATGCGTCTGTCCTCTTATTGATAACAAATTGCGGCATAACATTGTCAAAGTGGCTGTGGAACCACGAGCCGCAGGCGAGTGGTTCCGCAGTAAACTTTGACAATGTTATGACCAAATTTATCATCAATAAGAGGTCAGACGCATAAAAAAAACTGACGTCAAAATGGTAAAATGCCGGGAATAAATAAGGGGAAAAGACGCCGTAAACTTGCCGTAAACAAAGATAACTGAATTTTATTCAAAATGTCGCGAACACAACAGCTTTTCTTGCTTTTTGATTGGCTACTTAAAAAAGTCCATACAGTCTCACTGGTTAAAAGTTGACAGCTTGACAGCTGAAAGTTGAACTTGAAAGCTTGCGTAAATTAAAATTTTATCCGTCTGCACTCTTATTGATGATAAAAATGAGCTAATCAGCGCGCGAGAAATTAGACAGTTATTGTAAAAAGGGCCTTTTCACTCAACCTTTACACGGAGTATTTTGCATCTGAAGATTCTTATAAGCCTTGTGTGACAACTCCAAAGATGAGTAAATATTTACTTTGTTTACTTTTTCAGAGGTCTGCTCGCCTGCATGTTTGAATAATGGAATATGTCGAAGTGGAAAGTGCATGTGCACAGCGGACTGGGAAGGAGACCATTGTCAAACCCGTGAGTACAAAGATAGTTTTTAAGCCACTAGTTACCGTATTCCTATAATAAGTCTTCTTGCGACCTCCAGATCTCAACATTATCAGTCACACTGGGCTAATTTCGGTGACAAAAACTGAGACAACGGGTCACGTGGCCCTTAACAGATTGACCTCGATGAAATATCGCGGCCTAGGAACTAGACAAAACTAGGTGGTCGTATTACGAGAGGGTCATAAGGCAGAGTTTTACTGAAAACGCAAAGCTTCGACTTGAAAAAGTTTAATTGTTCTGACCACCCCCCTCATTTTAACCCCCATTCATCTTCTCCTGTACTTCTTTCTCCACCTTACTCTTCACTTTCCTCTACCTGGTAAGGTAGTATTGCACAACATGAACGAAGATCAAAATCTTATGTGAAACGAAAATGAACATTCATAAACACAGCAGGTGAGCTACAAGTTCCTTTGGTAATGTTAGTTAAAATATTTTTATTATGAATTGTTATTGATTTAATTCTCTTTTTTTTTTCTAGCTAAATGCACCAAGAACTGTCAAAACGGAGCAGCTTGCGTGAACAATCTTTGCGTTTGCTCCGGAGGCTGGGCAGGCGATCTCTGCGACAGAGGTAGGTATATAAAACAGTTTCAGTCTGCGCTGATGTTGTTCTTTGTGTGAATATATGTTCTAACGGCTGAAATGGTTCTGGTACGTAGAAGGCGTTTTGCCCGCCGCGCTCTCCACGTGCCTTGTAATGAGAAGCATTCTGCGTGAATGCGTTCACGCGACTGTCCATTTCATATTTTGCTTATATATCATTTTTCTGCGTAGTCTTGAATATTTCGACACACAAGAAACACATCACGTTCCCCGTTATCAGAAGCATTCTGCGTAAATGCGTTCACACTACTGTCTATTTTTTTTTGCTTTGGAAAGTTGAACGAAAAGTTTAGTCAATTTTCTGTGTAGTCTTGAATATCGCAACACACGAGCAACACACCAATGCTCGAGTCAAGTCTTTCCATACGCTTAAGTTCCTACATTAGAATATAATACGGATTGCAATTAAATATCTATTGGGTAAAACAACTCTTACTGACTATGTGCCAAAACGAGTAACAGGTACAAAGATGCATAAGATTTCGTGGTTGAAACACAAGTAAACTCAAAACTCAAGCGCCCACGAGGGTTTCAAAATAATTTTACCTCGGTGAGACAAAATCACAACAGGTTTCTGTACTTCACTTCTCATAGTTTATATTATTAATGTATTTTTCTATGTTTTTTTTTGTTGGTAGCTACTTGTGACCCGTATTGTCAAAATGGTGGAACTTGTGATGCACCAAACGTCTGTGATTGTACAGCGGGTTATGACCGTGACACTAACTGCAAAAAATGTAAGTGAACTGCGGAATGCTAATGCGTTCTTTTTGAGAATCTTTGTTTCCTCGTTCAAACTGATAAACAGATCCCTTGAGAAGTACTTTCTGAAGCTGCAGTGCTCGTTGTACAGCTTATTCCTCATAACGTCATAGATTTTGTTATCTCTTTTGACAAGTTCTCCATGATCAGCGCACAAGCAAGTGTTGCTTTTTGACATTTTTTTTTAGTTTTGAAGTCACCTTTTTCANTACACTTTAATAAGGGACGAACCATTAGAAAAGTGATGGCGGGTGGGACATTTTCAGGTTGCAGGAATTTTTTTCCACGTCCATTGCCTTTGAAGAATTTTTTTGGGGGGAGGGGGGGGGGGGGGGGGGCTCCACAGGGAATGTGCCATAGTTTTTCGTTCCCATGACCAAATAGACGGAAAAAACGGGGGCAACAAAAAAAAATCTGGCGCAAAAGTTCGAATGAACTAGTTCTTTAAGCTCAAGTAATAAGACAGGGATATATTTCGCCCTGTGATTTTTGGGTTTAAGTTCGTGCGTACACAAGGACATTACGACGCTCTGCAAGTTATTAAATTATTCTTTTGTCAACGCATTTCCATTTTCTTTTCAGCACTGTGTAATCCTGACTGTGGTGTTGGCGGGATTTGCGAGTACAACGCAACTGCGGGAAAACTAATGTGCACATGTCGACCTGGTTTCCATGGCGAGGGATGCGACCATGGTAAGCTGCCTAAGAACCCACCTTCTTACTTCTGAATAGCGGCCTGCCTACCTACCTACCTACCTACCTACCTACCTACCTACCTACCTACCTACCTACCTACCTACCTACCTACCTACCTACCTACCTGCCCATATACCCGGCTGCCTACCTACCTCCCTACATCCCTACCTCCCTCCTTCCCTACCTCCCTACCTCCCTTCCTCCTTACCTCCCTACCTACCTAGACACCTACCTACCCGCCCGCCTACCTCCATTTACCTGCCTTCCTGCTTACATGTATTCCTAATGAAAATAACTTTACTTCCTAAACCCATTACTTGTTAAAACTACGATACATAAAAGTATCGTGTAAATTGACTGTTAGTTTTCCTTTTTTTGTCTCAGTGAATCCGTGTGAGATGCCGCATCATGAGGGTGTTAGCGCGCAATTTCTCGATGAAACCTTCTACATGCGAGACCACAACTTGCTGAGTTTCACGGGAAATGCGGCCTCGACAAATGCGTGTCTAAAATATCTTGAGGAAGTGGATAAACATTGCTCTTCAAAAAATGCAACATTCAACCAAGCAGAGTGCGAGAATTATTGCCGTAAGTAATTTTGGATTCGTCTGATAAACTCACAGCAAGCATTTGATAGGGTTTAAAATCACCTGGCTTCACCTCATAATAATGTGCGTCACTACTAAAACTGCTCCATTTCCTTTATTAAACATTACAAAGTGTCAATTTTTTAGTTTTATATTTATTTTCCTTTATTGTGTTTGTGATAGAGTTGTGTTGTTGTTGTTGTTGTTAAACAATAAGTAGTAATCTTCTTGACTTTTACGCATGTGCGCTTGAAAATGCGCATTGCGGTATTGGTTCTTAACCAGTTGAACAGGTTTTCACGAGAACATAGCTGGAACATGAGTATTTTTGGACGTAATTAATTATTTGAGTTGGTTAGTTTTTGATGAGAGGCAATCGTTTCAAAGAATTAAGAAGCGGAAATATGCTCTGATGCAGGCTACGAAAACGTGAAAAAGTTCACAATAAATGATGTTCAATGTTTTTATTAATCATTTTTTTTTTGCAGTTCCTCTCGAGACCAACGACATCTGCAAAAAGATCTGGAATCCAGTTGGGTACGGAATCGCACCGGGCATGGTTCAGCGTGCTAATGAGTCGTTTTACTACGAGGCTGCGAGCAAGTCTTGCAAGCCTTTCCGCTCTCTGGGCTGCCTCGGAAATGCTAACAACTTTGTCAGCGAACAGAGCTGTAAAGTCAAATGCACCCGTGAGTAGTTGTTTTTTTGTAAGTTAAAAATCCCGTGTTAAACCGTCTTGATCCAATACTTTTTTAAAAAAAATGAGCGAATTCATAAAGAATACGGGGGACATTAACTTCGTTGCCAGTGTCCTCTCCTCTCCGTCCCCTGGAAGGAGAGGACCCTGGGAACGAGGTTGCGGAAACTATTCTTAGATAAAATTCCATCTGGCAGAATGTCGTCTAATACGAATTTAAGGACGATAAAACTGTCTTATGATCTGTCTGATTTATAAGTGTTATCCGTTTTAGAAGACAAGAAACGCGCGTGGACGGGTAACTCCCCTGTCGAGGGTTTCGTTCTATTGTAAGTTCCCATTCGGGACGGGTAAGAAGCAAGTTTCCCGCCAAAAATCCGTCAAGTCTCGCCGTTTTCACACTCGTCCCGTTTTCACAAACTGGTCACGGACGGGAAGCTCTTTTTCACCGTCTCTAGTGTGAACTCGTCCGTTACCTTGTTTTAATGAACCTAGTTTTTTTTGTTCTTACAGTTGTTGCCCCGACAAACGTAGCACCACCGCCCATCATAGACGGTAAGTCTTTATTACTTACATACGGTGAGTCTTTATTACATGTAGCGACCTTAATAGGGACAGTTCTGGCCTCTCTCTTTCACGCAACGCCAAACTCTTGGAAAAGTCTTCAGAGCGTAGCATTGCGTGACAGAGGGAGACCAGAACTGGACTAAGGCTTGCACATGGTAGGAGCTAGAGAAAAACGAATCGTGAGACTGATTTTCGTTTTCTCCTTACCCGCTGCAGCACCTGGAAGTTGTTTTGTCAATGGCAGAGAGCACTTCAACACATTCGACAACACTGGCTACAGATTCTCAGGTCCTTGTTCATCAATGCTTGTCTTGGACAGCGAAAACCCCGAGGATTTCAAAGTGGTACTCAACGGTGATCCCAGCTGCGATATCAATAATCCGTGTCAAAAGTCCTTAGACTTGATTGTGGACGGTGTAAACGTACATTTGGGTAGAAAGACTAACACATCATTTGTGGTGAAAGTGGAGGGTACACCCGTAGATCTACCCCACACAACGGCGGCACCTTATATGAAAAAGGTGAGTGCTGTGTAATATATCAAAAACGAAAGACCGTGTTTGACCACATCTGCAACCATCGAGAAGAGAGTTGAAAATATCACGTGTAGCGGAGTACTTTTGACAAACTTCGAGTTGTTTGGTAATGTGGTCAAACACCGTCTTGAGTGTTTGATATATCTTCTCAATCAAAACTAAAACTAAGGAGAAAACGGAGAAATCAAATCGTAAAAATCTATGCTAATTAAGATCAGATATCCAAACACTGTCACGGTCATGATTTTCGTGTTTAAACTTGATGAATATCAATGAGTTTGAGAATGTTGTTTTGCCGTTGCTTTTAGGAGTTACTTCGTAGATGTATTTCAAAGATTGTCCTTCCTAATCCGTGTTTGGCTTCCTTAATCTTTTCCATCCTTGTTGCAGTTTGGTTCATTTTTGTCTTTTTGGCCTTTTGTGGTAATTCTTTTTTTCAAGTTGACTTTTGCGGTGTTGTTGTACCTTGCACGAAAAGGATTGATTTACGTCATCAATTTTTTTTTTGCTGCGAGAGGGTTAAGGGGGGGGGGGGGTGGGTGGGACGGGAATAAATCTCTCTCTCTTGCAGGCGATGAATTGGATGCAGGAAGAGAAACATGTTTGTTCAGGCTATTAATCTTCACAGTAATAACAACACGATTCTCGAAAACACTTTCCCATCCCCGTTTAGTTTAGTTATAAATAATATCTTGACTATGTCCTTATCATTTCTTTTTTTTATTGTTAAAAGTCTTACTCGTCATTGCTTCCTTATCTGGTAAATGTAACGCTTCCTCGTCTCGAAGCCCGTTTTCGATTCTCTTTCAGAGTGGACGCTACGTTCTAGTGAAAACTCAGGACCACATCAACATTCTGTGGGACGGCCAACAAGATGTTATCATCAAAGTCCCTGTAAGCTACAAACTCTCTAAAGACCATAAGCTGGTCGGCTTGTGCGGTCTTTATGACGGAAACAGCACCAATGACTTCACTGACATCCAGGGAAATGTATATCTAAATCCCACACAAGAGGAGATCGACGCGTTTGCCGACAGCTTCAAGCAGAAGACCTCTTGCGATAACAGCCTTGTTCTAGCGGTGCCCAAACGAACAACTGCAGAGGTACTCGCTATTGAGCGCGACTGCAGTGTCATCGAGAATCCAGCATTCCAGCCTTGTCACCAGCTGGCCGATTACAAACCGTTTTTTGGGATGTGTATGTCAGATATGTACAAAACGAATTACGCGAACAGGCAGGACGCCATGTGCGACTCGCTCGCGCTGTACGCGCGCGTCTGTGCGTGGTACCACAACACGACGCTGAAGGGATGGAGAACACCCGACCTTTGTCGTAAGTAGACACATTGAATGATCATGAAATAATTTCTCCTTAAAATATCGATACATTTCGAAAGGGACGTGAAAATAGAATTTGGAAAACCATTCAGTAGGGGATGACTTGATGTAGCACCTTCAGCTTTTTAGTCAGACGATTTTCGAGGGAACTGTTTCATAAACATTTTGCGTTTAAGCATGATTAGGGTGGCTTGGAACTTGGCCTAAATTGTTCACATTTCTCGATCGTATTAAACCACGTATTAATCTTCTTCAATATGAACAACCTTGTTCTATTTTTGTCTGTTGAAACCTCGTTAGTTTTGTTTTTCTACCAAATCATGTGTTTCCATAGATTTAAACATCAGGTTTCGGAAGAATAACTTGAAAGCTTGTTTTAAAGACACTCTGTACACCATAACAACTTTGTAAAGAAACAAAGGCAAAACAATGGAATGCCCACATAAATATAAGTTTATGTAATTTCACACAGAAACTATGAGCTCCATGCACATTTCAAGCGAACCACTTTCGTCTCATAGCTTTGCAGTGTCCTGCCGGGTTCGAGTACAACGAGTGTGGATCGTCCTGTCCCCTGACGTGCCGAAATATTAACAGTGACAAGGCTAAGTGCAACTCTCCCTGTACTGATGGCTGCCACTGTCCAGAAGGAAAGTGGCTGGATGGTAGCGTGTGTGTGGAAAAGAGCCAGTGCTCTTGCTTGTATCGAAAAGTCACATACCCCAATGGAGCAGTAAGGGCGGATTCTTGCCAAACATGGTGAGTATCATTTCGGCTGTGTGTGTCCATGTGTCAATCAGTAGCGCGCTGTGGTTCAGAATACCGATCTACAGGAGGCAGCGTGGCCGAGTGGTCAGCGCGTCGGACTCGCAATCCAGCGGTCTCTGGTTCGAGTTCTGCTCTGACCACTTTGACCGCTACCTGAATTTGTTTCACGGTAGCCCCGAGAGTTTAAATCTTCGGCCACGCTTGTAGATAGCCAACTGGTTTGCCTCCGGCCAGTTGGGATTCTTAACAATGTTATGTTCAATATGAATTATTTGTTTCAGTTGTTTTCTCGGCCCCACTAGCCTTTGTGCTATAAACACCGCAGAGGGTAAATAAAAGTTATTAGAATTATTTTTATCCACCTTGATATGTCATTATGAAACGTAGTGAACTTTTTTCAATCATTACTTTGCTCTTTCTTGGTTAAACTCCAGAATACTCAGTTACTCTAAAACTTGTATTCATATTTGTACAGTCTTGCATGCGCAAAGCAAGCACAGAACTATTCTTGGTGATCAATTAGCTTTTTTATGTTGCGTTTTTGTCAGTGAGTGTTAAGAAGGGTTTATTCGTTTGATTTTGGACTTTTGCTAATGCGATGATTCATAATGTTTTTTAGCACCTGTAATGGAGGCGAATGGTTGTGTAAAAAGAAACCTTGCGCAGGTATGTGATTTTACTCCTAGTGCCTTATTGTGGAAATTTGACTCTTGCCTTTTACAACTGCGATGGAAAATAAGTTCTCTCTCAGGCTGTGTTCACACTTGGACACTTGGTGCCCGAACACTGGTGCCTGGGCACCGGTACAAAATGGTGTTGAGCTCAGACACTGGGTACTATAAGTACCCAAGTACATGTACCATTTAGTGCCCGAGTACAAGATCACGACTGGTACTTTGTACCCGTGCACTAGCACTGTGCCCGAATTCTTGGTGTGAGTTACTTGGAAAAACGGCGTGTTCACACTAGTAACCAGCGAGAATAGCACTCAGGCACCGTGCTCTGGCACCAAGTGTGAAGATAGCCTTAATCAACGCAATTTTCGAGAATGAGAAGGTAGTACATCTTGGCAAAGAAAAAAACTTTTGTGATGACACACAAAGACAACAAAATACCATACCTCTGGGAACGAGGAGTAACTTAATATCTTGAATCTTCTGGGGAAACCTGAATACTGCTAACAGAGAGAAGTGTTATTTTATATTTGCTAAATTTCTTTTCCGTTAGGACAAAATTTTGAAAGTTTGGGTCAAAATGATGGAGATTAATGTCACACAGATTACTGTGCTTCTTTACAAAAGACGCTTAATTCGCCTTAATTAGTGTCCTAAATAATTCTGATATCAGTAATGATAAGTCTGCAATACATGGAAAACCTTCCTTTGAGGTAGATAAAGCGATTTATTGAGTTTTATGGCACTTGCGCATGCCTAGCAAAGCTACTATGTGAGCCCTTTGTTTGTACTCTCTGTATTGTTTCTGGAGGCAACGTGGCCGAGTGGTTAGTGCGGCGGACATGGAATCCGGAGGTCTCGGGTTCAAGTCCCGTTCTGACCACTTAGTTGGAGCTGTTTCTCGGTAGACCCTGGTTCAACTCCTCGGTCATGCTTGTAAACAGCCAACTGGTCTGCCTCCCGCCCATCGATTTTAAAACCTATTATGATTAGTTGATATATTTGTTTCTTTCAGTTTAAGAGGCTTGTCTGTGAACTATTGTAGCTAGGTGTCACTAAGCATTGACCATTATAAACAACAACATTGAGCGCTTTTTTTGAACAATAAGCATTTTTTTTCATTCAGGTACTTGCTCCGTTATCGGCGACCCTCACATCACCACATTTGACGGCAAGTCCTACACAATGCACTTGAAGCAGTGCGCCTACGTGCTGTCCGAGCACTGCCACCTGCCTAATGGAACAGACAGGGGCTTCTCCATCACTATTCGTAACAGGTACTGCTCATCCTTGTATTCACACTGCAGACGGGAGCTGCTCGTGAATGTCACTGGGGAACCGTTCTTGATTCTCGACGTCGATGATGACTCTAAGAAACCAACTGCGTCCATTGAAACCGAACACGGCAGCACCACAAGCGTCACAAGGGACTACTCCACAGAAAAGATGGACGTCGAGTTCTTGGGTGATCGGAACATCTTCATTCACGTCGACTTACAGGTATGTTACTTTTTATTTTTTCAATAGTGTAAAAGTTGTAATCACTTTGTATAAAATAAAACATATCACAAAACAATAGCTTTTATACGAATGGCCGCACACCAGAGTTTTATTCAGAAGACAAAAGATGTATTAAGTTCTGGAGTTGTTCTGCTTCCTAGCTGTTATTTCGGTGGCCACACATTAAGGTTCATCGATAGATTTATCCACCTTGGACAGCGTCTTAAACAGTAGCAGATAAATCGGTTTTCTTAATAGCTTTCATTTGAATGGCATCACACTAAGGCTTTATCCGGGACTAAAAGGTTACAACCAACAGGTACAGCATGATAAACAGTACCACCTGAAAGTACCACACGATACTTTTTAGTTGAATGATCACACGCTAGGGTTTCACCCACAGGATAAAAAGTAAGAACCTTCTTGTGCAACATAAGAAACATTACTACCAGGAAAGACTGCATTAAAGCCACGCTTTGGTGACACCTCTTGTGAACGTGTGGATTTAAAGAAAGTGCGGCGAACTACAGGTTACAATTTCGTCTAAAATGTAAATGTATGCTTATTTCTCGTTTTACCTCAGAACGGTGTAGCCTTTTCAGTCCACTGGACGGGATATAACACGTATCTGACAGTGAACTCGACGTTGAAAGATCAAACTTGTGGTCTCTGCGGCACGTTCAATGACATGAAAGAAGACGACTTCCACATGCGCAGTAACGACGACATAGTGACCATCGATGAGTTCGCACAGGAATGGTTGGTCCCAGATCGCTCCGTGGAAAAGTGCGCCACCGAGAGCGTGGTTAGTTCCATTAACTACTGTGACATCTATCTGCAAAACAAAAACTGGACCCTGGAGCAGTGTAGCGTCATCAAAGATCCCATCGGGCCTTTCGAGGACTGCCATTCCGAAGTCAGTTACAAGGAGTACTACGACAAATGTATACAGGACGGCTGCCGCTGCGAGGGATGCCTGTGCAACGTAATTGCTGGATACGCCAAGGAGTGTGCAAAGAAGGATATTAATGTGAACGGTTGGCGGAATTACGTCGCTCGCTGCGCTGATGGTAAGATAGCACCACATGAAAATATAACCTGTGTAGGTGCCGAGATTTTATTTATAGACTAAAAGTTAGAACCACCTTGTACAACATAATTAAAAGTACCACATGAAAGTACTGCACGACAGCTTTCATTTGAAGTCACGAGGGTTTCATCCACAGGCTAAACAGTTAGAACCTTCTTGTACAGCGTGATAAACAATACTACATGAAAGAACTGCCAAATAGCTTTTTTTTTGAATGGTCACACTCTAGGGTTTCATCCACAGGCTAATAAGTTAGAGTCACCTTATACAACATAATAAACAGTACCACATGAAAGTACTGCTCAGTAGCTTTCATTTGAATGGCCACACTCTACTGGGTTTCATCCACAGACTTATAAGTTAGAGCCATTTTGTACAGCGTTATAAACAGTACAGACCTTCGTTAAAGTGCTTTGTCATGTCTTGGTCGTTGCTGCAAACTGTTTTTTTTTGGCTAAATCCAGCGCAAAATCTTGTTTCAGAGTTCAAGTGTGGAGCAGACATGATCCTTGAACAGTGCCACACACACAAGAATGGCTCTGTAGCTTGTCCTCAAACTTGCGAGGATTTGGATCCCGATCAAAAAGGAGACTGCGAGAGGTATGCACTACAAGCCTATCAGCCACAGACCCGCTAAATGAATCATTCACTGGTCAAGCCGCTGTTAACTTCGTCCTTCAGAAAGTCGCTCAGTTACCCAGTAATTCGGGTGGTCTTTTGTGTCGGTCGTTGGTCGGTTTGTTGTTCTTTCATTAGCTGGGTCGTTCGTTGGTTTGTTTGTACATTCAATGGGTCGTTCCTTCATTCTTTGGGGGAAGGGGGTCGCCTGTTCATTCGTTTGTGTTCGTTGGG